TGTATTGTCTTCTGGTTCGAGCCGCATTCAGTGACGCTGATGATGTAAGACGCTGCTGACGACGTGTTATTAGTGCGCCCGAGCTTCGTTTACAGTCTGAGGGAGACGCACGCTGCACGATTCTTCAAAACATTCTAACTAATCCACTGATGTCAAATGGACTACTTTGATGTCTTTATTTCCTTTCTGGACAAGGACAGTATATCGTACATACATTTTCAAAGGAGGGACAGAAAGCTCTCGGACTAAATCTAAAATATCTTAAACTGTGTTCCGAAGATGAACCTCTGTTCATCTTCGGATGAACAAAGTCTTACGGGCTTCCCAAGTCTTACGGGCTTTAATTAGTTATTAATGGGCCTGACATTTTAATTTTTGTGTGAACTTATTAAGTATGAAAAGTCATGTTTGTTTTTATATTGTATTTTGTCATTGATAAAATTGTTGAATGTCTTGTAACCATCAGTGTATTTATTTCATATTTAGCTGACCTGTCCATAGAGGCGGTCCAGTCGTACCTGCGTTCCTCTTGGCTTCTTCTCCACCACTTCCCGCCTCCCTCTCTTTATCCCCACGCCTGCTCACTCCTCGCTCAGTCACTCGGCCAGACCGATCCCATCACCACAGCAATGCTGCATGCACAGTCACTGGGTGTGTCCACTCGCCACCATATGACCCGTCATGTCGTTAGTCAGTTCAGGTATGCCAGTTAGTATAAAAAATACAAACATTTCGGCTGAAAAAAAGTGATAGCGTGCATTCTAAACTATTTGGACGAGGAACAGAACCTCTTCTATCCTGTCTCTGTAGGAAGCTGAAGAAATCTTGTAATGATGTAGCAGATGGTCTTGGCGCTTTGAGTCTGGAGGAAACGTCTGGGGTAACACAGTCTCAAAAACTCTCTGCGCTGGAGCAGATATTTTCCTTCGCATCATCACACCCAACACAGTTCCCACAGACACACTGTCAGCAGTTCACACAGCAGATGAAAGATCTGCCAGCAGGTAATAACTTCATCTGAAAATTAAAGTGATAGTCCTTTTAAAAAAACACCATGGAAGATATTTGGAGGAATAATGATAACCAAACACCATTCCATTGACTCCCATTGTAGCCTTTTATCAATAGAATGGAAGTCAAGTTTGATTATCAACATTCTTCAAAATATCATCCTTTGTGTCCTGCAAAAGAAAGTCAGTCATGCAGATTTGGAACAACATGATAGGGAGTAAATCATGACAGTTTTCATTTTTGGGTGGGCTATCCCTTTAAGCAAGATGGCCACATACAGTAAAGCTCTCTGTAATACCCTAACCCAAATTATTTGAATTGGGAATTCTATCTGTGCTTCTGAAAGAGACCTAATGACCTAACTTTTTCATAGGGACAACAAAACATTTGAATGAAATATGCAACATAGTTTCATGGTGGTAATGTAATTTAATTGATTGATTTTTGCTATGTGTTCTGAGAATAATACAGAATAATAATGTAATGTATATTTGCTTTAGGAATAACAGTGTGCATGCTGTCACTCGCGGGGGTGTATCCTGATGAAATTGGCAACACTATACTTCTGACTCGACTGGAGCGTGGCTCTACCCCAATCACTGTTCGAATCCCTACTGCAAACAGAGAGGTACAGCGAGATTGTGTGCTGATGTTCTTAGTTCTTCTATATATATATGTATTACCTAATGCAGTACAGCTAAGAGTTTTAAAACGTTAAAATAGTCATTTCCACAACGAGAAGTAAATGGAGATGTTTGCACAAATTTAGTTTATATTTGACCTTTATAGCGGTCTGTTGCCATGCTTCTGCAAGAAATGGATGGAGTCTTGAAGGGGCAAAAAGAAGTGAGCATGGTGGCTGAGAAATCACTGTGGTGGGAAGGAAGGAAGTCATTGGATGTCCGTGTAGAGGTGCGACAAGATCTTTGACAGTTAGAAAATTATTAATATAAAGGGAGGATGTTGGATATACTGATTGTAATTTCTTTCTCTGTCCATCAGAAAATGCTTGAGGAGATGCAAGAGGCTTTAGGGGTGTGGCGAACTCTACTCCTGCCTTTAGCCTCTGACCCTGAACTTGAAGTTCAGGTGAAGGGTTTCCAAAAGGCACTGAAAGGAACAAAGATCACACAGGACATTCTCAGGGTATGTTTGATCATTAGTTTGATCATCACATGTTCCCACCTGTAGTGCTTTTTCATTTCTTCTTTCTCCCTGAAGGTGGTTCTCTCAGCATCTCCACTCCTGTCCTTGCCAGACCTGCAGTGTCTTGTAGAGGGCATGGGTCAGCAGGACAAAGATTTCCTGAGGCTTCTGCAGTGCGGTGTGACTAAACTGAAAGGAATGGAGGAACCAAAGGGACATACAGTTCTGATCTTAGACAAGGTACACTAATAATATCCACTTGTGTGAAATAATACAGACGTGACTATTTTATAGGCGATTTGAATTTGTTTTGAGCTGATTCCATATGCATGTTTTGATCTTACTAGAAGTTTTGTGTTTTTACAGTACTTACAAAGGTTGCCATGGGAGAACATTGCTTGTCTGAAGTCTCGTTCCGTCACTCGTATGCCCTCATTACATGCAGTACTTGGACACAGTCATCTGAAAGAGGTATATGCTACTTATTGCAAGCAAAACATGGACAGTATTTAATACACATAGTAAAGTTTTAGCTTATTAAAATGAGTTCATCCATCATTCACATTTTTAAATTAATATTACTTCCATGAAACATGTTATTTGGCAGAATGTCCTGGCTGTGCTTTTCTATTGGTATGCACCAATGATGGAATGAAAGTCAATATTTATATCAAGTAACAATTCAAATTTTGCTCTATTTTTAAACAGTGCTCAGGAATGAGTGCTAAAATCTGGAAACGAGTTAGAATTTTTGAACTTCCAGTTCCATTGTCCTGAAAAAGCTCAACAGCCTGTCTCCATTCAGTTCCACTGAAAGGAAAAGATGTATTTTGTCATAATTTATTCACTCATGTCATTCTGAACCTTTATGATTGACTTTCTTCATTTTTAGGATGAACCGTTTTTCTAATTTCTTTTCTCAGATGGATTCAAGTTGTGTTCTGTCACGTGGTGTGAACCCTGAGAAAGTTTACTATGTGCTAAACCCAGATAGAAACCTCCCTGACACCGAGAATCGCTTTAAAGAATGGTTCACTGGGTAAGTGTACAAAATATGCACCCTGACTGCCACAGTTGTGTAACTGGTCCCATTTCCAATCTGCTATCTCTGTCTGTTATTGGCCAGTGAGCGGATGTGGCAGGGGGTTTGTGGAACTGCTCCTGATCCAGATAAACTACATGAGGCTGTGACCACCAAAGACCTCTACATGTAAATGATACTGCTAAGAGTTATTTACTACATAATAAATGATGAAATATAAAGAGACTACATGTGCTTGATAGTATGTATGTGTATTTCTCTATAGTTACATTGGACATGGTGCAGGTGCCCGTTTTCTGGATGCTCAGAGGGTTATGAAAGGGTCTGTTCGGGCTGTAGCTCTTCTGTTTGGCTGCAGTAGTGCTGCTCTCAGTGTTCATGGCCATCAGGAGGGAACGGGGATCATCCTCAGCTACCTGAGCGCAGGATGGTAATGTCCACATCTATGTATACAAATATTTTGTGTAGTTACTTATGATTTGCTTTATTATTAAATGTTTATTTTGTCTCTTCACCAGCCCGTTAGTGCTCGGTAACCTGTGGGATGTGACAGATCGTGATTTAGATCGTTTTACGTCGGCTCTGCTGCAGTCCTGGCTCTCTTCTGGGTCTGGCTCCTCCCTTCTTCAGCATTTAGCCCAATCACGTAATGCCACACATTTAAAACATATAATTGGTGCTGCACCCATTGCATATGGTTTGCCTGTGCATATTCACTAGCTCAAAATTTAAATTTTAACTTTTTATTCTTCATAGCTAATATAGTAATTTTTAAAATGTATAAATGCCACCATCTTTTATTTAAGGTGAAATATAATCTCAGGGCTAGTTAATGCAAAAAATGAGATCTGATTGAGAATGAATCTAGGAATAAATCTAACCTATGCCTTGGTGCTTGAAGTGTTTTGCCATTTTAAAGTCCTCTCAAATGTTTTACACGTTATTTTGTGGTTGCAATTGCTGATTTAGTTTGCTCATACCTCAATATGTTTTACTTTACTTACGTCTTTTAAGTCAAACATTTTACTGATGTACTGATGTTCTTTTTCATTTTTGTATAAACTTTTTATTTTCTATTTAAGTTTAAGTCAAGCTTCTTTAAAATAAAATGATTTTAAAATGTATTCTTTGACAATGGTGGTTATTTCAACTTCATACTGTGTAGCGGGAATGAGGCAATTGCATGTAAAAATGAAAGAGTACAAATGGTGGAAAAACAATATGAATAGGACAAGTGTCAAACTGGATGGATAAACTGACAGGCTGTTCCAGTGGCAAGGACCATAAACACTAAAGGTTGTGTGCCCATTACTCTTCAGTATGTCAAGGGCAGTGATGGAGGACATGGGAGATCTCATCTCTATGTTCCTCAGATATTTATCTGATATGTGTGCAGGCTCAATGATCGTTCTGACGAAAGTGAAATGATTAATTAAACCCAACAATAAGAATTTTTAAACTGTTTTTATCTTTTTCCATGATAGATTTAGGCATCTTTGATTTATAACTCATTCCATTTTGGGCTTCCATTAATCAAATGTTCAAGACCCAACATCAGTTTTTTTTTTGTATGTTGGAAAACCTACTTTGAATTTTGGCTAAATACCATATGCATAAAGTAAAAATGTTGTTGCATTGTATGGTGTTACAGAGTGAGACAAAAAAAATCCATTAAGGAATATTTAAATTGATTTAAATTATATACTTTTTTCATTATGCTTGTCTTAAATTTTATTAAAGGTATAAAAAAATATATATCGAAATGCAAAATCATTGCTAAAAGTCCTTCCAGTTGTGTCCGGTTGACCCGGAAGCTTTCCTCCCCTATTCAATTGTCAACATGGCGGTGAATCTGACTGAATTGTCTCTTCCACAATTAGAAGGCTTGAAAACTCAGCTTGATCAGGTAATTTGTGCTATAAATATGACAATTCTTTGATTTCAGATCCCTAAATTGCTGCTTAGGATGGTATTTTTCTGCCAGTGGTTCAACTTCCTGACATGCACGCAGCGGTTGTCATGCTGTGTGTGCGCGTGCTTCTGGTAGTGGTGTCTTTAATTCGCCATTAAACGAATACTTAAGACAAAATTGAGTATTCTGTAATTATTTACCAACCTTCTTATTCTTAAAAGTCAGTTTAAAACATAAAACTAGATGCCGAATGACAGCCTCGCTCACCATTCATTGGATAAAATGAAAGTGAAGGGTGTCAAAACATTATGACATTTTTATTTGTCTGCACTATTCCTTTTTAGAATTATTTTAACAAGTATATAATGAGCTAAAATAATAACCTCTATTTTTAGGATATAAAGAAAGTGAGAAATTTATATTACTTAACATTAGTTTTAACATTATACCCTATAACATTAGTTTAGTATAAATTGCCTTTCACCCCTATTTCTTTATTTTTTTTTCAAAGCAGCAGTTTATCAGAGCCATTTTAACAAATGAAATGATAAACATTTGTTTTCTAGGAAACAGAGTTCCTGTCATCATCTATCGGCCAGTTAAAAGTCGTCCAAACAAAATATGTGGAAGCCAAAGACAGTTTGAATGTCCTTAACAAAAGCAATGAAGGTGAGTATTACTGCTAAACTGTATATGACACTTCTTTGCTATAAATAGTTAATCTATTCACTGGCTTCTTTTTGCTATTACTTTTTTTCTCTTAGGAAAAGAACTACTTGTCCCTCTCACCAGTTCTGTATCCTCCCAACAGCTGAGTGATAAATTAGTGCTGATTGATTTTTTTTGACCCTCAACAAAGTCACATGGGCAGTTTGGTGTTTATTAATTAATTTGTATCCACCTCAGATAAGTTGTTTCCCTTAACTACTGCATTGCAGATGTACGTGCCTGGGAAGCTTAATGACGTGAATCATGTCTTAGTGGATGTCGGAACAGGTTATTTCGTGGAGAAGGTGAGCCAGGGTTTTGCTGTTCTGTTTAATAATTTGTACTTTTAAGGAAATCAAAGTCTAAGGAAATCTCACTGCTTTTTTAATCTTTTCAGAATGTAGAAGATGGCAAAGAGTTCTTTAAACGCAAAATTGACTTCCTTACAAAACAAATTGAGAAAATTCAGCCTGCCCTTCAAGAAAAACATGCTATGAAACAAGGTGATTTTTTTTTACACACACACACACATATATATATATATAAATTGAAACCGTATAACGTTGTTTTCAATATAAAACATTTGCTCAGAGCAAGCCAATCCACTTTTCCATGTTGATAAGAGCATTAAAATGAGAAAATATAATGGGACAAAAAGAAATCAAGAGACATTTAGAATAGATTAAAATGTGCGATTAATCGCAAGTTAGCTATGACATTAATGCGATTAATCGCGATTAAATATTTTAATCGTTTGACCACTAATATATAAATAAAAATACTGACCATTTCCAAGTCAAATTACGGCAAATTGACTTGTTATGCTGCAAATTAGTTAAAATCTCCCGGAATGTAGAGCAAACGCACACGCGAGACAGATTGTGCTCCAAACCGCGAGAGAGAAAAAGCGAGCGAGAGACCTTTCGTGTGCAGGAAGCATCCTGTTGGAGAAGGCTCTCTCCAAGATGAACTCAAGTTGGCAGCTATGTAGTTTCGTTCAGCTCATATTAGTATTTCATGTCTATTTATTTGGTTAGTCATGTAATAAGTAGGATAATGTACAGTCTTACAGTTTACCATTGTCACGAAAGAAACCCCTTCAGAAACATACAAGACCCCTGATCAACCTGTTGCATACAGTCACAATTTCTGATAATGATAGGAAAACCTGCTCAAAATCGTAAATGCATTAAATCCGTTTCATCTACCTCCTAACAGCTGTGGTGGAAGTCATGAATATGAAGCTTCAGCAACTGCACAGCCAACAGGCATCACAATCTGGCACCACCAAAGCCTAAAAACAATTACAAGAAGCATGGCAGAAAATCCAGAGGTTTGACCTGTCAGACGGATCCATTCTGAACCCTTGAAACAGAGAACCACTGCTCTGATGTCAACATGTTCACATCTCCTCGGGGCAGAATGAAGTCCAGCACTTTGCCTGCATTAAACAACTAAAAACAAAAAAATTCTGTTCCGTTTTCATTCTCATGTTTAGTGAACAAATGAAGCGTTGGACACGGCCTGTGGCTGTATTTGCGAGACTGGGGTGTCTTTGAAGGAGATTTACTTTGCATGTTTTTTTTTAATAAAGCAAATATTTACTTTTTAAATAAATCGGCTAAAGAAAATGTTCGTGCTCGGCTAAAAGGGAATTTACAGAAATGTAACGTTACAAGCAAAACAATGGTTTGATTTGTTGTCCCATGCAGGCAGATGAGTTACTGGGCCATGTTACAGAGAGCAGCAACTTTTTGACTACTGTAACATACATGTACAATTTTCCATCCATGCTGAAACAAATAATAAAAATTGACACTTAAAACCGTACACTACATGTCTCTGTATTTTTTCTCGGTCTAATTACACGAATGATTGACTCTAATTGTCATTAGTTTGAGTGCGAAGGCTTCGGTAATAATCTGTGTATTATTCGCTGTGTCATGGTTCAGTTGCCCGGCTGCAGAGTTTCGCTGCGCGTCTGTCGCTGTGTAGCACTATGCGGCGATAGCGCCTGCTGGTTGCTATGCGGCGCGCCGCGTGTTGAGCTCTGTTGCCAGGGAAGAGCGAGCGCGATGGAGGGGGTGGTCGCATTGTCTGTCGGGACGGTGGCGCTGTGTGAATTTTTGCCGTCTGCCAGGAACGGGCTCAGTATTAGGTTATGAAGTACACCCATACTGTGGATAGATTCGCGAACGTTAGTGTAAGCGCTGTTCCCTTTCCCATCTTTGTTTAGTTTCTGTAACGGTAAGACAAACCAACCCTAACTAGCTAGAGCAAGTGCTTGTTGCATTCAGCCGGTGAGAGGAGGCGCTTGATCGCGGATCGGGGTCGAGAGTGGCCGCCCGGTGCAGAGCCGAAGGCGGCCGATGACTTCGGAGAGTAGCAGCCAAGCACAACAGAAGGAGGAGGTCGAGCCAGGACCAGTAGCCCGAGATCAAGAGGAGAAAACCGGCGAGGAGCTCGGCGGCATGGTGAGCTCAGGCCTGTGGTGCTGAATCTGCACAACCCACTTAACCTTACGTGAAACACGTCGACTATACTGTGTATTAACTTTTCGTGTAGAGTGTAGTACTTCCATATTTAGAACAAATGTATTTAGACCACATGTTTTTAATTGTTAAGCATCAGTACTTTCAATTTGCTCACAAACTAACGTCACCTCTGGTTTTGCGCGCTACCCAGATTGTCACGTTTTATCAATCCTCTGAAACTGCTTAGTTGAGTATTAGCTACGCCTGGCTAGCCGGCTTTAAGCCGGACACCGGTAAACGACATTACTAGGCAACATAAACTAAATATATTGACACCGATGCTTCGTCTGCGCATAAATGACACAGCACGTGTTCAGCAGCGGAGCGCTCTAATGTTACTGTAAATGAGCAATGTTTGCATGACTCGAGGACGCATGACTCAAGCTAAAGTTTACGTTTTCTATTACAAGCGGGTTAACTCTTTTGGAAATAAGAAACACTTAATACCACCTGACAGCTTGCTTCAAGTTCGAGATTTTTTTCTAGTATTAGAATAATTCAAATCTAGTGTAACGTTAAATAATGCTGGTTACAATTGTCAAAATAATTAATTTTAATAATTTATGGGTATTAAAATGATTGAAATAATTGAAACTGAATTATTCAAATTAAATGGTTCTCGTTTAATCAAGGTTGCTGATATTCTAGTCTAAAAAATCAAGATGCATGACTGTTTTTCCAATTAGTAAAAAAAACAAACAAATGCTACTAATGTACTTTAAACAGGGTTTCTAACTGTGACACCACTGTGATTACAGGTACATTATACATTTATCAGGTACATATTACTGTTAGGGATTTACCCAGATTCTCATATCATGCCTGTGTGTGTTAGCTTTTTGTTAGTGCTTACTGCTTAGTCATTGCAATGAGGTTGTAACATGGTGAGGAAGGTCAACTTTAAAGGGGTCAATGTCATATGATTCTTTTTAATGTCCTTTGGTGTGTAATGTATCTGTTTGTACGTGCATATGATCTGCAAAGTTAATAGTCTCCCACAAAGGGATTTTTTCTAACTATCCAGATCTACTTAAAGCACATCAACCAAAGTCCACACTTAATACTTCCTCAAAAGTCTACATCACATTGTGAAAAATAAGCATAATTCCCACCAAAGGCATATGCAAAGAGAGAAGGCGGAGTTTCGGTGAATTGTAGTGTTGTATTCATGTCGCTGAGACACGGTATGTTTGGAGGCGAAAGCAAAAAAAATGTTGCTTTATATTTTTATAAGCGGTTTTATACAAAGACTAATTAGCACTGTGAAACATTCTGCTTAAGTTGTGCTTGCAAAGTTGGTTCAGATTGATCGGCTTGATCATCCGCATTTTCCAAATCTGACCTGGGCTCATATGGTAAAACCAGCTACATTATTGTGTTTTTACACTGTTTTTACTTTTACAATTGCTTAAAGGGTTAGTTCAGCCAAAAATGAAAATTATGTCATTAATGACTCACCCTCATGTCGTTCCAAGCCCGTAAGACATCCGTTCATCTTCGGAACAAAGTTTAAGATATTTTAGATTTAGTCCGAGAGCTTTCTCTCCCTCCATTGAAAATGTGTACGGTATACTGTCCTTGTCCAGAAAGGAAATAGAGATCATCAAAGTAGTCAATGTGACATCAGTGGGTTAGTTAGAATGCTTTTGAAGCATCGAAAATACATTTTGGTCCACAAATAACAAAAACTACGACTTTATTAAACATTGTACTCTCTTCCGGTAACCAGTAAACAGAGAACCCGTCAGGAGCATCTTATGTCACTGCGGACTAGTGACTTGTTGACTGCGATCGGGTTTGTGATTCCTGTAACATACTGTTTTACGGTCAATGACGAGTATTGATCAGCTGTCTCACAAGTGTAACCAGGACATTTATCCTAGTAAAGCCATAACACAGCGAGGGAGAAGAACTAAGTTACATGAAACAATCCAACTACATATTTTACACCACTGACAAGGCAATAGTGTCCCCTCACAGTGTTTATGGCTAGGTTTCTGCGGCTTCTCTTTCAAGGTAGTGACGAAACGCACTCTGTAGCACTGTTTGTTCACGTTCGGTTATGGTAGAAACATGACGTCACAAAATGTCGACCTTCATAGAAGGGGGTGCCCGCGGTTATGTAGATATAAATGTCTCATTACACATTGCACCTTTAATGGGTAAAGGATTAAGGCCGTGTGTCCACCAAAGTGTTTTTAGCCAGCTGAAAACGCTAGACGCTCTGCTGAAGATGCCGTGCTTTGGGCGCTGGAGAGCGTTTTGTCAGCACAGTGTTTTTCCGTTGAGACGTTTCACTGCTATGATACAGAATATCCGCAGCAGTTTGAATGTTGTGACAGTTGGTTGGTGTGTTATTTGTCCCGCCCCTCCTCCACTGTGATTGGACGGCTGGGTAAAAAGTGACAGTGATGAGCGCTGCGTTTTATCCAAAGTTGAACATTTTTCAACTCCCAGCGACCAGTAAAAATTCTGGGCGCTTGGCACTTCAGCGTGAAAAAAAAACGCTCAGCGCCTTGATACGCTCATGGCGTTTAAAAAACGCGGCGCTCCCATTGAAAACAATTGAAAACATACGCCATGCGCATGGAAAAACGCTTTGGTGGACATACGGCCTAAGAAATGAGGATTTACATTTTTTTTGTACACAACATTTCTACCTACATAACAAGAAAAAATTATATTCATAATAAGAATGGCCATGGAGTTTTATTAATTTAAACTGATTTATTAAATTTACATAACCTATTATGTTGAGGTTTTTAAAGACAGTTAATGTGGGGGTGAATTAAGGAAGGATTAATTGGCAACAGGCCATTGAATTATTGACTAATATTTATAGAGAGAGAGAGAGAGAGAGAGAGAGAGAGAGAGAGAGAGAGAGAGATTAAGCGTGTGTGAATTACCAGAGTCTGTGCGTCTTTCAAAAGTGTTTGGCAGCTGTCTCAGCAGCGCCGTTACCTTGCTTGTGAGAAATTCATGTAGCTTTTAAATTGTCAGACTATTTTACTGATAAAAACATCAGAGCAGCGCTGACAACATGTTTCTGTGCGTGTTTGAGTGGGAGAGAGAGCGGGAGAAAGAGAGCATGTGCTTTCCGTACATAATAAAATTTAAAAGGGAGGGTATGGGATTTGCAAAACAGCTGGCAGATTTAGAAAATACACAACTCAAAAGGTCCTACCTTTTTCCCTTCAACGCTGGCCCTGACTCCACCCACTTGAAGAGGGGTTATGGTACGACCATTTGATTGACGCACTAGGTGGTCTTGGAAATGATTGGCTGGAGTATTTTCGGGTCCTGCCCGTTCCACAGATGATTAAATTGCTTAATTTTCATTTCAGTGCTTCTAACTCAGTGGCTGTAAGTGGGTTAGGAATAGGATTTTGAAAAAATGGTCAAAAAAGTAAATTACGTACCCCACCTTTAATTTTGTGGGGAAGAAAACATGGAAATAATTTGTTGTTTTATCCTATTGTTTACTATATTTATTTGTTTGGTTAGTGTCATTGTGGGTTTTGGTACTTTTGCTGTTGGAGGCTGTAAGGACCTTTTGAAATAATTGAAATCATTTGGTGAAGTAATAATGTAGTCAAGACCTGGAACCTACTTTAGCTGGCCGTTTCCCTGAAAATACATATTGCACTGCACACCTTAGAACGTTCGTCAACCAATAAGATTGAAACATTCAACAGCCTAGTAGTATAACATAAGAAATATCTTGATTTTTAGTTGTTTTAGCTCATTTTAATGCCAGTTTTGTCTCATTTTAAATAATTGTTATAATTTGGAGCCCCTAGTGGGTCTCAGCCTATGGTCCCAGCATATTTTTCTGTACGGATACAGGATAAAATTCCATTTATTTGGCTTCTGACAAGCTAGTATAGATAAAGATGTCCGGAATTAGAGTTTCAGGAGTAGAAATATAATATATAATAAATTAATAAACTAAATATTGTACACGTTTAATATTTGTTTTGAACAAAATGGCTTACTTGATTAATTTTTGTCTGACTTGCCATCAAAACACATTTTTATTCGACAGTTCTAAAATACTTTTTATAGTGCTCTCTCATTTTTTTTTTCCAAGTAGGTTTCTGCAGTTTCTTTGAACAGTGGGTAAATGCAGTGAAATCCACCCACCAGATTGTCCATTGTCTGAATTCGATGCCTCGTTACATTACGATATTATACACTGTTATATTACAGTAATGCACACATTTGATCATTATATAAACCATTTTACTGCTTCCAAATGTAAGTTAGTGTTATTTGTAAGTAAGCTGTTCATATTTGACTACATTCATTCAATATTTTTTGTCAACCCTGTAGCACTACAGCATTTGTCTCAGCTGTCGCCACGTGCTCAGCCGCGATCTTGATGGCAGAGGTTACAGTTCCGGTAACTTGAACATACGTTTGACAGACGAAAGCCCACTCCAATCACAGGGAGATTCCATATGACGTATTTCACAATGCACCAATCCCGTAATGGTGGGCGGGAGATTTTCAAAATGTGCTTCTGCATGTGATCACAAAAGAGGCGAAGGAAAGACGGGTGCACGCCGGCCAATCAGACTCGTCTAGCGGCGTGTAAATGCTTACGCAGAGCAAAGGGGATTGATGCAGATATTGGCCGCGAAACCCTTTGGCAGTGAACTTGCACTTTTGCTTTAAACGGAAATAAGTGGAATAATACGTTGCTGCGTTATTGTGAGCTAGATTAATTCGCCTACAAGGTGTCTAGCGAGGGATAACGTTGTCCGGGGAGAAGAAGACCATGCTGTTGTTTGTGGAGGTGAGTTAAAGAGGTCATTTTGGCGACCACGAAGGTTCTTCACAGCTGCGGCATGGTTTCAGTTCGATGGCGCCTGCCATGAGTTCAACAAGAAGACATTCTTGTGGTTTTGTACTGCTGCTACAGTTTTTATTATTTGTTCCTGGTTTTAAATTGATTAGTTAGCGATAAGCAATGTTAGTTGAGCTACTATTTAATCCCTTGTTTATGTGGATGCGAGCTGACCGTCGGTTGCGAAAGATCCACGTGCGTGCAACAAATGCTAGCTATTTAGCAAGCCTCTTTATTAGCATATGGTGCGTAACTTTTATTGATAAAACTCACAACTAGTCATGACCTCATCCAAAACTGAGGGTGTCCACGAATCACATCGGCTTTTAATATAACCTCTCGTTCAAAAATAACTTTAGCCCGTTCAAATCCAATAAAGCTAACGTTAGTCAGGTTAACCGGGCTGCGTTACAGATGCAGGTTTGTAGCTCTTTGCCCTGAACTCTCGCTCTGGTTTATCGGAGAGGCTAATCAGATTAAACGGGTGAAAGGCCAACTATTTAAAACCTATCTGTGTGAATGGAGTGTCGCGTCGGTTAAGTAATGGATCTAGTGGATGATCATGTTCAACCCTGATCGGGCGCTGTAGTGTGAACTATAGAGAAGTTGGAGAGAGAAATGTGCACAGTTGTGGTTTTCAAACTCGTGGAGTGTGTTAACTTAATTGTTGGGGCCCTTGCCTGTCCTGTTGTTTTGTTTTCCTTCGGTGTGTTCTTCAGACGTCCTTCATTAGATGTTGCACAATTTCATTTGAGAGAGCAGTTATATTCTAGGCTATATAGTTCAAAATTGAGATTTAAAGCTAACTTTGAAGCAGCGTTGTAATTTGTTCCTCGGCTTGTCATGTGAAACTTTAAAAGCGTCGTATCTGTTAACCCTTTAAAGACCCAAGCACTGACTTAGCATTTTCATTTCTCCCTATTGAAAGTGATATTAAAAATCTTTTTTAATCATATTTTGTATGTTTGGGGGAACTTTGCAAAATTGCTATGCTGGGATTTCCGCTTACAAAGTTTATAGTTTCAAGATCTGGTATATCTCATCGTTTCACTGACCACCTGTAAAGTATTACATGTGGCCTACAGTGAAGTTGCTTTGGCCTTTGAATTAAAGCCTTTCCATAAAGCAAAAATGCTAAAAATCACTGTTGAGTAAGTTACATTAAGCTGTCAAAGAAAGCATTTAGAATGTGTTTTATCTAGAGTAGACCACTGACCTCATCATTTCACTGGTCTCCATTATCTAATGACCTTTGTTGCTCTTTTTTTGTGTGCACAGAAAATGTTTATTTTTTGCAAGTTGATATTGTATTTAGTCTTTTCTTTATCACTTAAGAATCTTGCAATTGAGACATGCAGTCATCTACTAGTACAATTACCAGTTCTAATGTTTTTTTGGTCCTAAATGCCTTAAATGTTGCTTTGAAATTAATTTAATTCATTTTCCAGGATTGTTTCTTGCTCTTTTTTGGTGGTCTGACTACATGTGCTGCTAGTTTATTCAACAGTTACTCCACATTAACTTTGATAAAGTTGTGCCATGATAGATGGCTGTCAGTTTTAGATCATGATAATGGGTAGTTAAATGACCAGTAATGTTGTAGTTCACTCTCAATTCTCTTTACTGAATCTACAGTTGGGGAAATGTTGACAGATTTTTTTTCTGGTTTTATTCTACTGTGATCTGAAAAGTTAAAAGTTAGTTTTTTTTAAACCTTGTTCTCAAGGTGACCACCAAGGGGGCCGGTCTAAATCCCAATGCTAAAGTGTGGCAGGAAGTGTCTGCACCAACCACCCAGGCCCCGGAGGCGGCCATAGAGACGTGCCATTGGCCAGAAGGAGAAACTGTCTCTACTGAGGAGTCAGAGGGTATGTTAATTGATTGGCAGTTGTTTAAGTTGTTTGAACTTCATGCTATCTTCTCAAATTGTTCATCTGGAAATGAAAATTGTCAACTCCTATTCTAGGATTTTTATTTCTACATGTTTCAAGTTAATATAATTATAACATGTTTACTTGGTTTCTTTGTGTAATGACATGCAGGTAAATAAAATATTGTCTTTTGTAAGTCTCATTTTGATATGTGTGTATTAGAAAATTATTTATCTTACATTTTTTATGATTTAATTGACTTTTCATTGACTCATGAACACCCTGAAGTTCCATCTCAAACCTCGAGGGGTTTGGGAAGCCCTGCTTTAAGGGTATGTTTTTTTGTTAGATGTGGCTAGATTCTTGGAAGATGTTGTTTTGAGATGAATGCATTCATATGAGATGGCAACTAAAATCATTTCAGACATGTTCAATTTTCCTAAAACCCAGTGATGATCAGTATCGCGCTTGGAAGGACCCAGAACTATAATTCTCACTGTAGAGATCTTAATTTCTCCTCTTACTCTCTCCATTCTGTTCTTTCTCATTTCTTTCTCTAAATCTCAAACTAAATTTCTTGCTCTCTCGCAGTGGATTGGGTCTGCCCTGATGACTGTGAGATTATGAGATCTGAGGGTTGCATGATCTATTGCTGTTCTTGCGTGGTAACTGAATGGAAAGGTTTCAAATTCATTTACTACTACTGTCATTCCTCTTCTGAAGGTTTCAAGGAGTATGTTGTTGGCTATTGTGACTCTGAGTCAGCCCCTCCTATGGAGAGCAGCATGTTGAATGGCATTGAGTCAGCAGAACTGGCTTACCCACTCTACGAACCAGGTCGGCCACAAACACCCACTGTCACACTTTAATTCCATCCATGATTCTTAATGGCTGATTGTCATTGTGGACTGTATGTTTTGTTGCTCAGTGGAGGGTGAGACCGTTGAGGAGCAGCCGCCACTGTCTGAAGAGAGTCTGAAGGAGTCGTTGAAGAAGCAGTTAGAATTTTGCTTCTCAAGGTAACACCCACTCTATGCCCAGACATGCTTTTACCTGCTCTCCCATATTACATCATTTTTTTATTTTTATACATAAGACCTTTAGGGATGAATGGAAATTCATAATCCCCTGAACAATAAAGCAATGCTTATTCTACTCTTCCTTGAATAAAGTAATTAAATGCAATGTCATAATGGACCTATGACATTGGAGTAATCTGATTAAGGCCCTTTTATTCAGCAGTATTGTATTTGTTGGTTGTCAAGTATGCACAGTTGAAATCTGTTTACAGTTCCATATGAAAAGAATAGATCACCCAATTATTAAATGATTATCTTTTAATTACCCTGATGCCTTTACAATGCAGTATGCTTATTGGATATTAGAAATCATTTAGTTTTTGCATGTCAAACTAACTTTGTATGACTGATTGAGAAGTGTTTATTAGATGCGTCACTATTTCCAAAAAGTTTGTCTAGTGTATCTTAAGACTGGGCGATATGGCCAAAGAAAATTACCACAATATTTTTTTATTTCTAATGATAATTATGATAAATGTCAAGTCTGTATTTCTTTTAAGTTTAAAGGCAGATTTTTGCTCCTAAGTGAAAGTATTAGAAACTAGAGTGTTAATTACTCTTTATTGTCAGAACATATCATGACAAACACTTGCCAATCACGAGAACATTTGCCAAATCCGAGTTAGAACATTCAAATTAGAATTCCTTAATAGAAAAATATTTCATACTTTCTGCATGTGCTAATTTTTATTTGGTAAAATGTAATATTCTGACTGAGTTTTATTAAAATTAACCATGGTCATCCAGCATCATGCATTTAGATCATAACCACAGATGAACCCGGGCATATAGCCCCTCACTTATCATGGCAATATGTTACTTTATGGTTTCTATGGTATTTGTATGAAAAACTGCCTAATAGCCTAAAGACATTATTAAATAAAGTTGTTTTATTCCATTAGTCCCTGCATTGTCTACATTAATAATATAATACAATTCAATATGTATATATTTGGACTTTGAGCCGAGAGGATAAACAGTCCGTAAGGCGTTTGTGTCTTCAAATGAGTTTCATTCCACTTTTGGCACATAAACATTATCGAACATTTATCGACCTTTTGTTTTATCACGATAAGTATCCTTATCGTTTTATCGCCGAGCCCTAGTGTATCTGGATTTTTTGTTTTGGTCAGTAGTCCACCACCATGATCCAGATTTTCGCCTCATCTAGGGAGCCAATCACAGAATGGGGAGGGAGCGGCTGGACGGAGTCTATGCAACACTAAAGCAGGTTGTTTATACCTATGGATCCAACATGGCAGCAGACGCAAAGTTACCTTTCAATGCAGGCTTACAGTCGTTTCACACCGCAAGCGTGAGCGGCACTTTAGCAGCGCCACAGCATAAATACATAGTCACTGCAGCTGCGCGAGAGTATTCACACTGGAAGCGTTTGTCGAGTGTCACAGCAGTGGCTCCAAAGCTACATATATAAGCTAGCAATTCTTGTTGAGGCAAAATTTCAATAAACAGACATCACTGCGTAAGAGACACTCAGAGTCAAATTAATAAAAGGAAAAAGGTTTATTATTCTTGCAAGAACAATAAGGCTCAGTCACCAACACAGATTACTGCGAAGTGAAATGACGTGCCGAACACAGGCCGTAGTTCATTCTTATATCTCTCTCAAGGTTATTTACTTCAAGCTCAGCCTTCCCTGTAAAATTCCACAAGCCATAGGACTCATTAGCTGGGTTAGATTTACTGCTAACCCCCTCTATCCTCCCCAGTCTAAGATGACCTCGGACCCGGCCGTATTTCTGGTACCTCACTCCACTCTTGATAAAGGAAAAACAAATTACCTCCTTCACGGATAGCTAAACCATAAGACATTCCTCCGTTATTACATATAGGAGGTGAACAGGTAATATAAAATATAGAAACATAAGGCCCAATAATCATATGTAATACATGTGAGATTAAAATTTTCCCCAACATTCTTTACAAAGACAACTATACATTTTTTTTTTAGAAGGTGGTCATTGGATTGTTGGAACTTAGTTCACATGTCCAGTGATGTGATAACACACAATGTTTGGAGTAACAGGTTTCTATCAATGGAATATGCAAATTATGCGATGGAAGCTTATAGTTAGCAAAGCAGAAAAATCTGTTTTCCCAATATGCTTAATCTGTATTCAAAGGCTTTACCAAGTGAAACGCTTATGTTTTGAGTGTTATGAATATCACTGCAAGTGCTCAATGTAATGAATCGGTTCATTACATTTATTTTCTACAGGGAGAATCTCTCCAAAGACCTTTACCTGATATCTCAAATGGACAGTGATCAGTTTGTCCCTATTTGGACCATTGCGAACATGGAGGGGGTCAAACTGTTGACTACTGATATGGACCTTATTCTTGAGGTGTTACGAGGTAAAAAAAACTACTCTGGGCAAAGTTACAGTTTGTTGTCATTCCTTGCATTTAACTGTGTTTTCCTTCTTAGCCTCTCCCATGGTGCAGGTGGATGAGAAAGGTGAGAAAGTACGGCCAAACCACAAGAGATGCATCATCATCCTCAGAGAAGTTCCTGAGACCACACCTGTCGAGGTGAGAGAGTCACTCTGTATGTTCATCTCATGTAGCTGTGTATGGGAGAGATTGGTTATTATTACTGTGGTTACCCCGATGATGATCAGTATCGCGCTTGGAAGGATCCAGAACCATTACTGCTGAGATTTCATTGTCCTCTTGTTTAAATCCTCCTTTATCTGTCCTTATTCTTATTTCTCTCTCTCTCTCTCTCTCTCTCTCTCTCTCTCTCTCTCTCTCTCTCTCTCTCTCTCTCTCTCTCTCTCTCTCTCTCTCTCTCTCTCTCTCAGTACAGTGGATTTTGCCCTAATGACCGTGAGATTATGAGATCTGAGGGATATCTGACCTTCTGTTTCTCAGTAGTTTTCACTTGTTTTTTAATTTTCTGATTAATGCTTTTGTCTCTCTCTCTGTCAGGAGGTGGAGGCACTTTTTAAAAGTGAGAAGTGTCCGCAAGTCATCAGTGTGGAGTTTGCGCACAATAACAACTGGTACATCACATTCCAGTCTGACACCGATGCTCAACAGGTATTATTGTCAAACGCAGAGCCACACTAGTTGTAAGCTTTGTAGAATAAAACTAAAATATTTCGGAAACACAACAAATATGAGAAGCCATATGATGCGTTTCCACTCAGAGGAGGAAAAACTCTTGGCGTTGTTATATTATTAATTTACTACAGGTATGCTGCTAGTTCAGGCCCACATTTATTTTCCTGTTGGTTCTTTGTAATGTTAATTAAATATATTGTACGTTAATTCTTTATGGGTCATTAAATTGTACTTTTAAAGCTAAGTATTTATAGTCACACACACACACAAAGATTCAGGTAATCGCTTTAGCATCGAATCGCACCCCTCTGAATCGTAATCGAATTGTGAGGTGCCTAGAGATTCCCACCCCTAACATATGTTGTTGTTTTTTTTTTTCAAGATCTGTTGTACTATATTGAGTTAACTCCTTTTAATTCAGATCATTTTTTGCAAGTAAAAGTTTTTTTTTCATTAATGGTTGTGATGCCATTTTCCTGTAATATGGTTCATGATTATTTAATCTGCAATGTGTAACTTTCTGTTTACTACTATAATGCGTGTAATATGGTCCTAATGAAATATATAAATCAGTGAAGACTTGGGCTTAATTTTGCATCAAAATGATTATATACATATATTATTAGCTAGCTGCTTGGCTTAAAACTGAAAAGATATTTTAACAGCCATAATTTGCTGATATGTAAACCATTATGCACTTTTGCTCCACTGTTGCATAGATAACCCTTTAACACTTTAACACTGTGTTGTTGCATTTTTGTCTGCTGATTTAATTAATGCAAATGGTCTATATCTGGCCACATTGTTTCACAGGCTTACAGATACTTGCGTGAGGAAGTCAAAACCTTTCAGGGCAAACCAATTATGGTGAGTGCACATTGTGTTGCTGTCTTATAGTTTAACCAGACTGATGATTCATGCTAGCTTGTGTGTTAGTGAATGGATGTGTGAATGTGCACTCAATTCCTGTTCTAGAAGTATGGCTTCATTGTTCTCAAGGACGCTGTTCATAACAGGACTCTTTGAAATACTCAACTTTAACCCTTGTTGTGTGAACCAATCAGTGATCAGTTATACTATTATTATGTAACCAATAGGAAAGACCCCTGTAAACAGTGAACTGGCCAAAAATAGGATGGCTGTTGGCTACTAAGTACTTGCACTATATTAACTGGGTTAAATAGAATTGCATTACTAAAAAGAGATTAAAATACCTTTTTCATTGACTAAAACTAGACTAGACTTAAAAGAGCATGAACGTGACTAAAACTAATAAAAACTAAATTCAAGTTCACACTACAGGATTTTACACCCAATTTGCAATTCGTTGAGCTCGCCGACAGATCAGGGCGCTGAGCCCAGAAAATATCTAGCATGCTAGATATCCAGAGCTGTCGCACGACTCAACCTCAGTAATGTCATGACCTACAGCCAATCAGAGCAAAGCATGGGTTGAGGTCACCCGGTAAATATTTTTTTCTTTTTTTGCATTTTTTTTTTGTTCTCAGAGCAAATAATCACGCAAACAGTTTGCAGCACTAGTTTCTGTCTGACGTCCATATTCACGTATTGTGTTCTTTGCTTGGTATTGGCACGCGTGCTGTTTCGCGTCATTTCCGGTTCATTTTATCACGTGATTTTTCATGAAATTTTTCGAGGTTTGTAGATAAAATCTTTGGGTGACAGTTGTCAACTTGTGTAGTGCGTTACCTCCTGTTGTGGATCAATCACGTTGTGTCGTGTAGTAAAGAGCAAGTCATGTAGTGTGAGCAGCCAGCATTTTAAAATCATGTAGTGTGAACAAGGCTTAAAATGACAGCTTGACAAAGACTAGACTAAGACTAAAATTAAAACAGGCTGCCAAAAACAAAACTAGTATCCTCTAATATTATAGTAATGTATCAGATGAGAGGGTTCCTTTTATAGCAGCATTATTTGGGAGAGATTAGTTTTTTTCTTTATTTATAAAATCAAACTATCAGCATTTGTATCAACTGCTCTCCTTCTATATTTGAACAACGAGATCTGGTTTTAATGCAGTTCTGTCCTTTGTGTGTTTTTGCCATGGTAGGCTCGCATCAAGGCCATTAACACGTTCTTTGCTAAGAACGGTTATGGGGCCGTTGACTCTGGAGTGTACTCCACTCCATCACAGTACTCGTCTCCAGTTTACCTGCAGCAGGTGTACCAGCCTCCGCAGCAGTACCCTCTCTACAGCCTTCTGCCACAGACGTGGACCCCTTCACCCACCCCTTATTTTGAAACGCCTCTGGTGAGGACATGAAATATATTTTCTTGAAATATTTTGAATTGATTTACTGCTGAATTATGACATTCAAGTGACGAAGATTACTAGTGGTGGAACGAATAACAAAATTCAGGGTTTGGATCATTTATTGTATTTAAGCTACGGGTCGTATCATTTTTCGGTCCAGATTTTTAAAATGTATGAATTTTTTATATATATATGAAGAGTTCAGATGCAAAAGCCTCTAAGTGCCATTTGAAATTTTGTTCTAGAATGATCATTTTTATCAAGCTTGTATATTTAAGTTCAGTGATTTCACTTAAATTGCAATGATAATTACCTATTAATTGTTATTTAAGTGAAATTACTGAACTTAAATATACAAGTTTGATAATCATCATTAAAGAAGAAAATTTCAAATGGCATTTAGAGGCTTTTGCATCTGAACTCTTCATATATATATAGCCGAGATGAATACAAAATAACATAGTCTAACAGTAGTATTCGGGTACAAAAATGTATAATTAAACCTAAATGTAAAATGTAGGCTTCGTTCATTGTAGAAATTAAAGTTTATCTTTCTCCAAGGTGTATTTTGTTGGTTTATTAATGACAGAGACAACGGTATGAATATTAGGCATCTGCTGTTACTTTAGGACCGAATTATTAGATAAATTATTATTAGTATTTAAAAGAGAATTTCTCTGAAATGTGTAAAAAAAAAATTAATTATCTATTGTCCCTTCAATTGGCTTTATGCCCCGCTGCACTACTTCCTGAACTTCAGCCAGCTCTTTGTTTCCTGTCTGCCATTATTGGCCAAATTGATTAATTCAGGTGTGTCTGATTATTGTTGCCATGAATACTGAGGTCAAGCACACCTGAATTAATCAATTTGACCAATAATGGCAGACCGGAAACAAGGAGCTGGCTGAAGTTCAGGAAGTAGTGCAGCTGGGCATAAAGCCCATTTAATGGATCCTTGTTGAATAAAAACTTAACCTATTAATACTTAACCAAACCATTTGTTTGGTAGTGTAAATACTAATTCAAAATATTTAAGATTAATTTGTTTATTTTATTAAAATATTTTTGATAGTTTAAAAAAAATTGTCATTAAAGACTGCAGGTTCGTAAATAATTGATTTATGTTGCCAAAGTGCTATATGTGCAAAAGCACAAATGGAGCTGTATATGATATATGATGCAGATTTGGTTGTTTTGACCCAGTGATGATAAACTAAGCGCATAGAGGGAAGCAGGGAGTGATCAGAATTTGTGGGGAGTTTCTCTGTTTCTCTCTCTCTCTCTCTCTCTCTCTCTCTCTCTCTCTCTCTCTCTCTCTCTCTCTCTCTCTCTCTCTCTCTCTCTCTCCCCCTCTCAAAGTTCACTCCTGTCCCAGTGAGCGTAAAGATTATGAGATCTGAGGGTCACTTGTGGAATGACGACTAAATGGCTTTTCAATATCTAAGCTAGTGGCTGACCTATATGGGAATACATTTTTTCACATACTTTTGCATTACATGCATTACTTTTTCACATACCATTTAATTTTGTTTACCAGTTCTGTCTAACAATGTATTAGATATGACTGACAGAAATCGTAAACTAATGAAAGCGGTCAGACGGAGAATGTGATCGAGTGCTGTGTGATCAGGTGCTGCTGTTCTCAGTGCCACCCGTCAAAATAAATGTCCGCAGCGCCGTCAAAATAAGTCCCGATTCAAACACATTGGTTAATCAGAAAAAAATTCGGCATTGCCGATATATAAGTCGACCTCTGGTCCAAGCATTGTAGCAACAGTCATTTTTCAACAGATTTGAATACGACTCATCCACTGAGTTACTCTTCTTCATAGCCTTTTTAGTTCAATTTGTATTGCAGTCATGAAGGCTGAAGGTATGAGCTGATGGAGTCTCAGTAGGTCTCTGGGTTTGTAATCAGGTTTGTGATTGCAGGCTGAGCTGCAGGGGAGAGACTGGAGTGAAGCGCAGTATGAAGTCAGTCAGGGCAGTTGACTGCTTTCTAAATGGTTACCATGCCAACAGTTGTTTGGTTCATTTAGCGTTTCACATTAATGTTAAGAGGTGTTTTGGGTATGCGTCACAAAAATGTGAATTGAAGATAATTTGCAAGTGTTTGAGGATGTGTGGGTTAATCTCAGCTGTTTCATCTTGCAGGCTCCATTTCCCAACAATACATTTGTTAATGGCTTTGGCACAGCAGGAAACTACAAAACTGGCTCGTCTCCAATCAGCCTTACACGCAACTACTCCCGCCACCGGTAAGATCCTGAAATCTACTTGTTTTAAAAGTCTCTTTCTTAGCCTATCCCTTTCCCTCTCTGCCAAAACTTATCCAGTTGTTTCTTCTACCATAGGAAATTATATCCTGGGGTTGGTTTTTAATAAAAATTTCACCCTTAATTCACCCTCAATTAAGGCTTTAAAAATGCCTTGAATCAAAGCAGAGAGTCTTAAATTCACGAAGTCATGGCATTAAATGTTGTATGCATTGCAAAAACTTAAGATTCAACCTCTGTAGTTTGTTATTCAATCAATACATTGAAAAATGGAAAGCATTTTTTTTTAAAGATGTTTTAGCTTGTCTGTTTGCGGTCAGATCATTTAAAGCTTTTAACCTGAAGGTTTTTTAGTCCAAGGATCCAGAGATGGAACATTAATCATTCCAGTGTATTTAGCTTTTAACAAAAACTCACATTGAGAAATTGTTTCTGAAACATGCAGGTCCTCAGCGCTGAAGTACAAATGAATTAATCAGTGAAAAACAGACTGAACGGCAGGTCAAAACATCCAACTGATGCCCTGAGCATTATGATCCAAACTACAACTCTAAACGAGACTTCATATTTTATATATGGACAAATGGACATCACAAGTGGTTCTAAGAATTGAACAAATCAACACTATTTTATCATGACAAAGTTTCTTTACAAAAGACTCGAGGAAATGTGTTCAAAGATTTCGACATTTTCTTAAAGGGTGTAAAAAGGGACTTTTTTTTTAGAGGAGAGCATTCTAAAATTAGAAACTACAGTGAATGTTTCTTCACTGTAGTAAAAATGTGTACGTGCGCAGGTGTGTGTTATTTCTGTACAAAGTGACATGGCAAAATGACATGTTTATTGAGAGCTGTTCAGATGCTGGTAGAGTTAAGGTGTGCAAATGTCCTTGGCAGCACAGGGACGCTGCGTGAAAAACCAGGAGTGCTGAATACGTATGGATAATGTACAGAAAACTGATACAGACCGGGAACAAACATACAGGAAAGATCCAAAACGATTTGACAAAGACTAGGTGACAACAGCATTTGCAGCTGCAATGATCAGCGGACACACACAAGACGAGAAAGGAGACAGCGAATTCATAAACCGTGACATTGGCTCTCTCACAGTCAACAGAATATCTAAATAAGATACTTTTAGCTGTTGTTATCTTGTTCTGAGTTATGTTGAATGGATATGGAAATTTAGCTATCTATTGTGAATATGACGGATGGAACAGAGTTCCATCTTTTGGGCATTCATCATATGGCATTGGTTTTCATTTCTTGTCCTCGAAACAGAGCACTAACCTGTTAATTTAAGTTGCACATCAAGAAAATCAAATGTGTTTGTAGTATTATTTTATATGGAAATCAATTATTTATAATTCTGATGAGAATAAAGTTAGGGTTAAATAAAATTAAGGAAAACAAATATATTGAAATACAGCAAATTAATTATAAATTCATTCAGCGACAATTATCAAACATATCTCAGAGTCTTTTTATTAGTTTAATTAATAAACTAATTATATGAAACTATTATCAGTGCACTATAAATAAACTGGTTCTATGCCTTTATTAATAAAACATATTTAAAACATAAAAGGCTTGAGACATTTATAAAAATGCCTTCTATATTTCTGTTTTGCTTTTCACTCCATTTTACCGAAATCGTACCGATTGGTGATGTCTGAACCGAACCGTGACTTCTGTGTACTGTTCCACCCCTAGTATTGTCGTCATACTATGAATTACGTTAAGCTATGGTAAAAGTGGTAACCGCCAGACCTGGAGATTGGCTGAATGGTTTCCTAAACGGTAAAAGAACAATTTTTTTTACTCGAGGGGAGGTGGAAGATGAGCTTAATTGCCCAAATTCCTATTCCTGTAACATTAGATGTCAGCACATCTGACAGGACAAGCTGTTTTAAACTTGTTAACTAATATGTTAGGCTACCAGTTATTTTGAATCCCTTAATATAAGCTTGTCATGTTTAGGACATTGTACTATGTAGCTACTTTCACTGCAACAGCTCACATTGCAACCTACGCTATTTTTCAGAAGTGCTCGTATCGAAATAAACTGTATTGCCTCATTTTGTAACTTTTAAAAAAAATATATCGATATATCGTACAAAAACTCGATATACCGCCCAGCCCTAAGTAACATTGTCATTCAATGCGTCTCCTTTACTCGTTACGCCTTGCTACTCATGTGTGTTGGACATGCGTGTTGACAAAGCACACACATAGCGTTGATTGGAAAACATTCTTAAAATACATTCTACAAATCGGAATATTTCCTAAATACCTATTCATGGTGTTTTAAAGTGTCCACGATAATACCGTGCATATTCATTATTGTGATGAATCGTATTACTGTATGTCAGCACTTGTCTATCCATCCGTTTCCATTTAAATTAGAAGTGTTTGTTCTAGTGTGAAATATTGTTGTCATGTGCAGAAGGCAGAGATCTGTATTTGAGCCACTGGAGTCAGACTGTCTTTGTTACTTTTACTTTCTAGACTTCCACTTTATTCCAGAAAGAATGTAATCAATGCCTTCAGGTAAATTCATTTTAAATCATCGTATGCACGTTCATTATAGTGCTTTTTAACCATGAGTGAGACCTCCATTGTGAAAGAGCATCAAGCTGTATGTTGCATGTTGGCTTTCACAGTGAATGACAGTGCATTTGTTATCAGATCTGTCATGTAACCCTGTCCTTGCATGCATCATCTGTTGATCTGCGTGTATGAGAACTTCCTAATTGTGTCTTGAAGTACGTGCGTTATATACAATCTGCATAGGTGTTGAATGAGGAGGTCGGGTGAGCCAGTGACCTATAGTGCCAATATATGCTTTATCCAATTTAATGGCAAATGAGGTAGCCTAAATATAATTTTGGCTAAAAGGAAGTAGCAAAAATATTTGTTCACTTTATATTCGTTTGTGCTTGAGTTGAAAAGTGTTTGGTGCTATGCACTTATTGGGTTCATGTTGAATTGCAAATAATTTTTGCTGCTATTGCGTGTAAGGTTAAGGACAAGTTTAGTGGTATGGTTGGGGTTAAGGTGTAGGGTTTAAATGGATCATAGTTTATCTGTGGTTCGTACAGACCTGGGGCCTGTACCATGATGGTAGTTGAATAAACTCAGGGTTGCAGGATTAGTTTCGAGTTGACAAAACCAAACCAATCCAACCAGGCTTTGTTGGTACCATGATGCTGATCATCAACTCTGGCTTTGATCCTAAGTTTAGGTGTGACATCGGTAGTGAACAGCCAATCACATGCTGAGAGAGTGAAACTCATTGAAATTAATTTCTTGAGAGAAGCAGCACAATTTACTTATTAAACAGTTGCATTTGCCACCACCCATTCCACCCCCCTCCCCTGTGTTCTTTTTTTTTTTCCTTGTTGATCCGAAAAATGATCTGATCCATGACTCAAATGCGATATAATCCAAACTACTAGTTTTGTGATCCATTGAACCACTGTTAAGGTTTAAGGCTTTTAATACAATCTAAAACATGTATGTACATGCATGTAATTCACTTTTGAATATGTGATTACTTGAATTCTGTGTATATATAGGCCTAACATTTGGGGCATCAGGGAGCTGCTATTGTCTTGTCGGTCATCTCTTCTTACTCTCTTAACTGCGACTTTGCTACTAGTACTGTATGGAGTAGTGTCTGTTGCCCAACTGAACAAAATGGGATTTTATTTCTATAAAAAAAGCAAAATGACAGTGGGGGTGGTGATGTGTCTGCCATGTAATGTAATCAGTTTACATCGGAACACTGTAACACCTGTAACCCTGATTCCCGCAGAAAGCCTGCTACAAATGAAATGGTGTCATTTCAGGAACTTCTTTTTGTCACTACATCTCTCATGCATATCTCCATTTGTGGAGATGCTTGTTCTACACAGTGAGAGAGACCACCCTTAAAGCCCAGCTGGACAAACTATCTGTTCTACAGATATTTATTCAGCTTTGCTCTGGCTTTTGAGCCTTGGTTATAGTTGCATGCTATCACCTCTGAGAAACGGCTGATTTTTTTTTTTTTTTTTTCTGTGCAGGAATCATGTAAAGCCACTGCCTCGTGCTGATGCGAGTCAGCTGACGGAGACTTCGTCCGGTGCCGGTAGTCCTCAGCCCCCATGCACCCCCACTTCAGACACCACTGCCTCCACCCTCACCCCGCTCTCTGAACCGCCAGTTTCCCCCAGAGAGAACCACCTCTCCGAACTCTGCATCAGCGGCCGGGCCAGGTCAGTACACACAGATGAGACATGTAGCAGCATTTTTCTTTTACCTGTATAACAATCAGATTTGATTGGTTTGACCCAGTGATGATCAACTAAGCGCATAGAGGGAAGCAGCGAGTGATGGGAAGACTTTAGGAGTTCTTTATTTTCTCTCTGATCACTTCTCTTGTCCTTTCATTTCTTCCTTTATCTCTCTTGCTCTCTCTCCTTGAAGTCTCCGTCACTCCTGTCCCAGTGAGCGTTAAGATTATGAGATCTGAGGGTCATCTGTTAAGTATGTTCTCTGAATGGTGACAGGTTTGATGAAACAAGTGTATTTAACGACTTCTGTGATGTGTCTAGGAGAGGAAGCTATCGTGGCATGAGGAGGAGAAGAGAAGATGAAAGGATGGTAAGTCCCAAGTTAATTGCATGGTTCTCCATAATTGTTGCTTTTTGTTGTCTCTCGTTTCATTTAATTTCATTTTACAGAGGCAGAATCCTGAATCAGAGGTGAAAACTCCGCCTCCAAAGTTTGACCTCGCAACCACTAACTTCCCGCCTTTACCAGGAGGTGTGCCGAGTTGTCTGCCAGGTGTGAGCATGCAAACGGAGTCTGTGTTGGAGAATCGCATGGCAGATGTAGTTAAGGGCATCAGCAGGGACAAGGTAGTAAAAACTACTTCCTGTACCTGTGTATTCTCAATTGTTTTGCTTGTTCACAGAGAATCTTTGATATTACTCAAGCAAAGTTGCAATTTTTCTGTGTGCTTTAGCCTGAAACAAATAAGCAAGATGTCAGTCAAGATCCCAGAACATGTCAAGTGGAAGCCCAGTCGACCGGACTCTCCGCTCCAGCGCCAAAGCTTCCCGCCACAAAACAGGACACGCCTAACACTAGGTACACACATGCATGTACACGCTTTAGGCATTATAAACTACTAATGAACATTACTTAAACAGCATTTATTAATCAAGGTTTTAAATAATAAATATACAATTATGATATTTTAACCAATTATTTGTTAATAAATATTACTATTATTAAAGGAGTAGTTCACTTTTAAAAAAACTTTTGCTGATAATTTACTCACCCCCATGTCATCCAAGATGTCCATGTCTTTCTTTCTTCAGTTTACTTTTTGATGTAAACATTCCAGGATTTTCTCCATATAATGGATTACATTGGGAACCAAACGGTTCAAGGTCCAAAAGAGTTTCAGTGCTGCTTCAAAGGGCTTTAAACGACACTAGACGATGAATGTCTTATCTAGCGAAACGATCGGTCATTTAATAAATAAATAAATAAAGTTTAAGTTTCATAAGCACAAATGCTGGCCTTGCTCTGTTATGTGATGCGCGTTCGTGACTCGTCTTCAAAGTCGTTCATCAAAATGAACAAATCTTTTTTCGAGTCATGACTCGAAGGGTCCTAGATAAGACCCTTATTCATCTTCTGGTGTCGTTTAAAGCCTTTTGAAGCTGCACTGAAACTCTCATTTGGACCTTCAACCTTTTGGTTCCCAATCAAATCCATTATATGTAGAAAATCCTGGAATGTTTTCATCAAAAACCTTAATTTCTTTTCAACTGAAGAAAGAAAGACGTGGACATCTTGGATGACATGGCGGTGAGTAAATTATCAGCAAAAGTTTTTTTAAAAGTGAACTACTCCTTTAAGTTTGTTCAAACAGAAGCAAGTTAATCTTGGAAAGCCACATTTCTCTGTACAGTGCGTCACAGCAAGTGAAGAAACCAGAGAAAGAGGTTCAGACCTCTGACACGCCTCAAGAGCCTGCATCAGTGACCACACACCACCACGTCCAGCCCATTTCCGCCCCAAAACCTTTGCGCAGCCAATCAACCTCCAGCACTGAAACGTCTACTCCACCTCTGCCATCAATCGCATCTTCACAGGTAAACGCCTTCATTTGCTAAATTATAAATGCTCCTGGAGCTTATTCGCACATCAAAGTAAAAAAAGATTTCTGTTAACCTTTAAGGATTTATTGACTCCTCAGGAGCCTCGCAAGCTGAGCTATGCAGAGGTGTGTCAGAGGCCACCCAAAGACCCTCCCCCTCCACCAGTAACCCCACCCAGCCCCAGTCCCACCGCAAACCAACCTCTACGTGAACTTCGAGTCAACAAAGCGGAAGGCCCAGCTTCATCCCGCTGCAGCCCCGGTGAGAAAATGGAGAAAGGAAGCGAGAGTCGGACGCCCAGAGAGCACACTGGCTACCAACGTGGTAATGGTCCCAGAGGGTCAGCCTTTAAGCTCAGAGAGCAACAGAGACGACCTCCACAGGGTCGGCGCACCTCGCCACAGTCGGGGTACAACAGACGCAGTGGAAAAGAACAGAACATCCCACCCAGATCGCCAAATTAATGCCTCTTATGCCCACGACACATGCACAATTGTGTGTATACTTGGATACACATCTTATACATAAAGGAAGAGTATATAAATCTATATATATATCTATATAAAATCTACATATGAAAACTGGACTGTCGCACTGTGGTGTCGAAGAATCCTCTGCCTCCTGAATGACTTGAAATCTGGGAAGTTGATTCTTAAAAATGCAGGCGAAAACGAGGAACTTTAGGAAGATGAAGAAAACCTCTTACACTTGAACTGAGAAATGGAGGCCATGCTTCCTGTGTTGTCTGATTTACAGCGATTAATTAGCTTGTGAATGAGTTTTTACTTGGAGTGTTTAAGGTCCTGGCACTAGTGTACAATGTTGTACTTTTTATTTTATTATCTAGGAATGATAGATCTGTTGGTGAGATCAAGCACATGTTTTTGTATGCAACAGATCACACAAAGACGGCATAATACCGCCCCCCAACGGTCCATATTTCACCTTTGTGTGTGCTTGTGCACTGGCTGGGGGGAAATCTGATTCAGATGTGATGCTCTCCCAAATAATAGTGATTAATATTTAATTTATTAATAACATGCGCAAGATTAAACATTTACAGATATCGATAGAAGGTTCCCACTGCTCACTGTCCTTGGAAAAACAGGGAATTTCAAAAGTGGGATTTGCAGGCTTGGGGGAAAAAAATCTTAGAAATGAATAAAATAACTAATGTAATAAATATCAGTTATTTATACAGCTAGAAATTACTCCAATGTGATGAGTGGATCTCTCTAAGATAATTTCTAAAACAATCCTTATGTTGTCATTAAAAACGTCTGGAAAAGTCAAGGGAATGTTTTGGTCGACTGTGTGGGAACCCTGTCGATATGTGCCATGCAGTTTCAAACAACTCTCAAGCAGGCTTTAAGGGTTTGGCCGGATTCAGAAAGCTAAAGCACTTTGTGAATTAATTCAAATTTAAACATATGAGGTGTTTATTGATTCTAAAACTGGAGGACAAGTGTATGCTGTTCTGACAAAGAAAGAGGGAAAGTTGTAGGTTTGAAGGACGCATTTAGACTGCTCAAGACTGACGAATGGATGAAATGGTACTAAACATCCATAGAAAAAAGATCCAGACAAATATAATACAATTTAAGGTGATTTTGAGTTGGTGTGTCGTGCTGTATAATGTCGTACGGTGTCATCTGTGATGTACAGTGTTTTTGAATGCTGGGTCTGTCAGTAATGGGAAGATCAAGCTGCTTTTATGCTGAAAGAATGAATAGATATTATTGTGTAAATGAGCTAAGCCACTGTTTGTCTTCCTCTTCCTTTGGAGTGAAAGTCTTGATGGTGTTTCTAAACTGTCAGCCTTTGTTTTGTTTTGTTTTGTTTCCCGTCTGCTGTAGATGCTGGTGACAATAATCAGGTTGGATTTTATATGCTATGAGTTAGTGTGCTGCTTTGGAGTTGCTGTTCATGTCCTAGTCTGTGATGTATGTCAGTCTATGTTGTGTGTTTTCCTTCTGTTTGTTTGATTAATAATAATCTGTATTTGATGCTTGTTTATGCCTGTACATTTCAGGTGTGATTACATGAAATATACCTGCTACAGAGCTCATTATTTACCCGTGTTATCCAGTCTCATGTCAGCCTTGGTAAAAGAGAGGGAACTCAGGACTTCAGAGGAAATTGGTGATGTGTATGACTGCAAATTTTTGTCTAATACTTATTGCAGGTTTTTTTTTTTTTTTTTTTTGTAGTCTTTTGAATTCAGTAATCGCATTATACTGTTTAGGGGTCTTAAGTTTCTGTTAATAATGTGTATTTGAACGTTTAAAAAAATGTTTAATCAAATGACACTGTTATGCATGAATCTCTCCTCAATTCGATGTTGTCCCCTCTTTATCTCATTCTCATGTATGGATGGGTTGTGCACAGATCCAGACCAAAGTCAAATCAGCAGAGAGACAATCTCAGAAGTGCTGTTTAAATGCAGTAGCTCTTCCCTCACACCCCTCTTACCGTATTCTGCCTTGGGCAGGGCCACTGTTTGAGTGAGTGTTTATAATCATGATTGTTGAACTATGTATGTTTTAGATTTTGAAAAATGTGCGTGTGTGTGTGTGTGTGTAACGTTATAATGGTGTCCTAATGAATAATTTCTTAATCCCCTACTTTTAATTTGATTTTAGAAGAACCATCGGAGAGAAATTTTATGCATCAGTTTTCTCTTTTCAACTTTCATTGTGGCTTTCTTGCCCAAACATTTGTGTGTTGTTAGTTTGAGGTTTTTTTTTCTTTTCTTTTTTTTTTTTCTCGATTTTTATTTTCTGTTTTGCAATATTATACTTGGGCGCAAATTATGTAGAGACTGTGCCACTAAAATTAGAAAAATCAGTGGAACTGGTTTTATTTTTTTATTATTTTAATGGATTTGATTAATAAGTGGTTGGTGAAATGATTTTGTTTTGTTCCTAATCTTATATCCTGTGTAGGCTGTAAGCATTTACATTTAGACACCATGAAATGGCACGGTTACAAGTAGCAAGTCTTTAGCCGAAAAAAAAAGTATTCATCCTTTCTTTTTAATCTTTATAGGGGGATAGGCTCTGTCACAGGAGATAGGTATAGCAACTGCTGAGTGAACTGTTTTGGATGATATTGTAGATGTTCAATGAAAATGCTTAAGGAAATGGAAGAAAATAAATAAATGATAAAATGATTTTAATCTGTGTTTGACTGTTTTTGAGAACCATAGTTGAAAGTACAACCTTGTAATTGTATAGGGAGGGATTTATATATATTTATAAAGTATTTACCTTTATGGTGGTAATACTTTATTAAATTTAATTAAGTATTACCACCATATCACACATGGAGTTTGAGCAATTCAAGATTGTTTGTATTGTAAAAGCCTGCGACTTCCTATATCTGTCCTCTTGCTGTGTTTTAAATTTAATTAAATGCAAGTCTTGTTCTTATAAAGATTGAAGTAGCTTATTTCCAACAGAAATCTGAAGGAAAGAAATTCTTCTAGCATTCTTCAGTATGATTTTAGTTCATTTGTCCCAAATTGTGATAACTGAATGGAAATCATCTGCACATTCCCTTTGTTGTTTTTCCTCTGGGCCATTTTGTAGTAATAAATCACAGTGCATAAATTGCCAGCATTGTACATGTCATGTGAGAGAACATTTGATTGCAATTTTGGGGATTTTTAATGATTTAAAGATAAATCAAGTAATGGTTATCTTTCCATAATATGCTTAAAAGCTTTACGAGCTAACATTAAGAGCTTTATTCCATCTCTAATATCTACTTTTATTGCGTCATTCGACGTGTTCGATGTGCAGCACAGACATGCGTAAATAGACTACTAGAGCATTGGATTTTGCATCACTGTTTCAAATCTGTTACGTAACGACTTTAATCTGGTTTCAATATGACCTCAACATATCGCGAGATTTACATATTGTGAGCAAGCTGGATGAAGGAGTTCCAAAGGTGGGAACGCGGAGAGAGAGGGAACGAGGGAGGAGCAGGGTAAGTTTGTAAACACTGAAATCCTTGGCCGAGGAACAGGTGACACGCAACACATTCGGATTACCTGATGGATTAAAATGAGTGATTTCAAGTGCAGCGTCGCTGGTCTCGCGAATGGTGGAGGTGTCATGAGTACCGTGTGTACACACTGCACGAGACGCGACACAATTAGAACACTCACATTATAATCAACGAAATCTGCGCGTGCTAAGATTGTACATTCGTTTAATATTTGGGAGTGTTCTTGTTTTGTCCCTTCGCGTCGATCGCTTGCAGTGTAAATAGGGTGTTACAGCCTGTTGGCTCATGTGTGGTTAGCATTAGCCAGTTAGCTTTAGTGATGGGAAGTCCGACTCGTTTTTGAGAATCGGTTCTTTGAACGGTCCGCTTCAAAGAACCGATTAAACACGGGATTCAGCTATTCTGTATTCAATCACGTAGTTGCGTCATCTCATACACTAATCTTATTAATAATTAATAACAGTTATATTGTAATGTAATATGTCTTATTTCGGTTGTTTAAAAACCCATTTGTAACTGCAAATATATATACACAACAATCACACAAACACACACATTAATATATTTTTTGTATATAAGCTGTCGTGCAGTGAAGTCATATTTACAGTACATTTTATTGTAACATTTCTGCTATTAAGCTATTAAAGTAATTTACATTTCAGTTTGCCAGCTTACTCATCGGCTCACTGATTCAGTCCGCTTTGTGGACGAATCGTTCGGTATGGATTTGTGTATTGAAAAGATCCGACTCAAAAGAACGATTCGTTCACAAATTGGACATCGCTAAGAACCATTTAAACGAAACACACGGCGCGCTAGGAGTTGCGACAAACCCTCCGACAAGTTATCGTGTGGTTAACATGGTTGTTATGGCTTTGTTGTATACTATTGTTTATTAATTTGACTGTGGATATGTTTCTGGAAATGCTTAGAGAGGAAACGCATGCTAGCTAGCGGTATGTGTTAGTGTTATAAAGCTATTGGGTTGAAGCTGGTTTAATGTAGCGGAAATGTTCTTTAAAAAGGGATGATCTCAGACAATAGTCAAATGAAAGCGTCTTATCATGTAATCATCATGCACATTATGCAATCAGTTCAACCCAGCAGGCCTCTGTGCAGCAATGAAGTATGGATTCCTGTCATCTGTCAAGAGACTACAACATTTCAAATGGAAAGTTTAGGAGGAATTCATCTTTTAATTAGGGGGTTTATGTTCATATGATTGCTCAAATTGAGCTGAAATTAATAGAAATTAGTCTTTTAAAAAGTCTGGATCTCATAAGATAAATCATAACTGTTCTTTTTGGATGGTCTTTAGAAGTAACACAGGAAGTAGTTGATCTAAAATGGGAGACGATCGACCTTTTGTCTGCACTGCCCCAGGCTGTGGACAGGTAAGAGTTGTTGTTTTTTTATTATTATTATTCTTAAAGTCTCTGTTCATGGTGTTCCTGTCCCACTGCGTAATGTATATGTGCAGTCCCAAGATTTTGGGAGCCCAAATATGAAGGTTTAAGAATCTGCCCTAATTTCTTTTACGCCCCTTAATCTTGGGGACAGAAGCTGATTGCGGGCCCCAAAATTTTTATTCTGAAATCACACCAGCTGTTTTAATCCCTGGGCAACTGTAAGAGGCTCCAATAGCACTGCATTAACTGGATAACATTGAACTGTCATCAAAACAGCAGATGGCCTGATATCATCCATTACTTCTCTGTCTCTAGCTTCCATATGATTTGAATTAGGACCCTGAATGAGATGCAAATTGACTGAAAACTTTACTGTGGGTTAACGCATGTGTCTGTGTCAATGTTTCTCTCACATCAGAGGTTCACCAATGAGGACCATTTGGCAGTGCACAAACATAAGCATGAGATGACGCTAAAGTTTGGACAAGCCAGAACAGATACAGTTATTATAGCAGGTTTGTGTCCCCACATATTTGAATTTCTGTCATTCTGTTGGCTCAGTCTGCATTGTGTTCATAGTAGAGGTTGCATCAGCTAGTCGACTTTAATGCTCTGCCATGACGTCAATTAGTTGCTGATTTTGACACTAACAGCCTTGCAGAAGACCTTCAGACTGTTCTGACTTGGTGTCCTATATTTTTTCTAACTGAGTTAAGATTTAAGTATAAATTACAATCAAAACTCCAAAAAATCCCATGGATTTACACTGACTGTAATACTAGTCCTATAGAGTATAAGCAATTTTTGAAGACCACTTAAACTTTCCGTTTCCATCAGTTAAAATGACAAATCTGGATACTCGACATTGATCGGGTGAATGCACCTTTTAAACTGTTTATTGTACTGGTAAGTTAATCGCTGTTTTAAACTAGTGTGCTGCTACTTTGTAACACACACGCATAAATATAAAGACAGAAGCTTGCACATCACGTGCAGATCGCGCGCACAGAACCATTCAGGACTTACTGTTTAGAATGAGCAGAAATCTGTAAGAAATATAATGACCAAAAAACAAAGCCAAGTATATATGGGACGAAGCCAATCAGTATATATGGGAATGATTAGGAGGCTATGATGATGGACAGAGGCCAATGGGCAAATTTGCCAGGATTTTTAATAACCACAGAGAGTCAGGACCTCGGTTTAACGTCTCATCCGAAGGATCCACTAGTGTGGATACTAATGTGGTTATAGTTATCATTCTTGGTTTGAATGGGCCTTTATAGTTATGGACTTCCCTGTACCCTGTAACATACTTACTATGATTTTTAAAACTTAATCACTCTAAATGTTGGGTGTGAACGGGCCTTTATGTTTGATTCTCATATGAATCATTATTTGCTTGTTAAGCTGTGTATAATATATCATAGTTGATTTTGATGTCAAAACAATAGTAATTAAGCAGTATCACACAATCAATTGTGCCGTCTGGTTGTGATTTAGATGTTAATATTAATTAGAAACTTGCTAAAACTGTGTGTGTGCAGATCAGACACCCACTCCCACCCGTTTTCTTAAGAATTGTGAGGAGGTGGGTCTGTTTAGTGAGCTGGCTGGTTCCTTCGAGCAAGATCTTCGCAAAACACATGAGGAGGAGGAGAGGAGAATTAAGGGCACGGTAAGATTTTAAATAAGGAAAGTGTACAGTATCAAATGTTATCAACATGTATGCTTGCTTTGACAGTTGTTAGCATGAACTTGATATCTTGAATCTTGCCCTGAAAGCTTCAAGCTCTACAGACGCCTACAGAGGTTAAAGAGAGGGAAGGTCCTCTTGAAATTGACTCCTCCCCTCCCGACAGCCCTGACTCCACCTCCAGCATGACAAACAGCAAAGATGCAGTTGCCATGGCAAAGGAGCCTATTGTCTTGAGGAAAGCCATGGTGAATTTGAATTTGCGACAAAGCAGATTACAGTATTTACAGTGCAGGTTTTTTTTTTTTTAGTGCAGCTTATAATATTGTCATGTAACTCACTTTTACAGGATGTTCCTCCACGAACTGCAGCAAGTTCCACCCCTACACCAACCATAATGCGCCCAGGCTCACTCCCACTTCACCAGGGATTCGACTCCATGATCCCAACTCAACCCTCTCCCACCTCTGTTATCACCAGGACCCCTCCGTCAAACAGACTCAGGTACACACTAGTTGACCTCATGTCAAAAAGATTTTGTTTAGGTTTGTCTCTATTCCTCTATTAAATTAGACTACTCGATTTAAAAAGGATTATTGATTGCAATTTGCCTGTGTCGATTAACTGGCAAAATACCGGAAGTGTTACATGAATGAGAATCCATAGATCTCATTATTAGACAGTTTTCAAAGGCTGCACTAGCCTGACTTCGTCATAGTCTGCAACTCCATTGGGCTTTGATTATGCGTGTCTTAACCGAACCAGGAAAAAAAACCTCTGCACTTAATTGGATAGTTGTTGGTAGACCTACAACCAATCAGAGCAACGCAGTAAGTCAACTACTTTGCATATTACAGTTGTCAACAACAGAACTTACTTATTTGAGAAGTATAATAACGAGTGTTGCTTCTTTTACTTGGTCCTCCATGAGTGCGACCAAAGGAGAAACCACAACGACCACAGGCTTTTCATTACGTCCCAACGTCTTAACGACCGTCAGAGCCAGCTGATAAGTTACACTTTTGCCGAATCACGTAGGAAGGACGGCAAAAATATTTT